TATTAAATATTTAAAAAAAGCTAAAGGCAAATAGATATAAATATATATACATAAAATAAACGATGTAACCAAAAAATTAAGCTTCCCTCAACAAAACGCACGGAGGCCAGTAAGTCTGGTTGAAAATAAAACCATATAAATCGAGGGACTTTCGAGAAAGTGCCTCGACATTGTTACTGGTAACAACAAAAGCACAGTATATTTTATTTTTCTGTGCATGCGAAAACACCACAATTTGATAAAAATATAAATATATCCTAAGTGACAAAAGTCAGGTGTCAAACTAAATATGAGCTTTTTGACTAGGTACCCGTAATTAATTTACCGCAATATTTTAGTGAGGCACTGCTTTAATTAGAATTAAATTAAGTTCTAAAAATAAATTAAAAAGTTAAACCCAATACTTATTATTAAATGTTGATTAAAACCGCCATTTAATGTCAATAGATTATAAATTGGTTTTCTACAAATAATTACAAAGAGAACATAGCACCAAAAAGGAAATAAACAAATAGACTAAAGGCGCTATTACCAATCTTAAGCACCCATCTTTTTGAGAAGCAGTCAAGTAAAACGTTAGCCAATACAATAAAGGAAGAGCTATGGTATTGACCGTATGAATAAATGTCTTATCTTATCTAACAATACAGATTTCAAATATAGGTACCATGCATTTTTAATAATAAAAATATATCTATTAATTATAATAAAACGATTATCACCGATTCATGAATCACATATTGCTCTTTGCTATTGAAAATCACTTTTTTTTTTGCGTTTTATTCTTTTTTCACATTCGGAGCTTACAAACTTCGAACTTAATTTATTGTTACATTTATTCTATATATCGAAGCCAAACATTTTTTTTAATCGGCGTGAGTTGCACACAGCCAATATTTTTATTTATGTTTCCATAACGCGAGTACATAGAGACCTGTAAAAAAACGTCTGCTAGCACAAATAAAATCCACGAATAATTCTCAATAAAAACATGATATCAGATTACCTAATAACGCAAAAGTTAAAAATTTTTATTCGATTGCTTTCAAAATGTTTACAATATGATAGTGTTTTTTCAACGAATTCTGGATTGATATGTAGTCGGGGCTCAGTTTTCTGAAAAATCAACATCATTTTAGCTGCCTCAGAAGTTAAACCAGTAAATATGACTTAATGTGTTATTGTTTATTCGTCATCGACCTTGGTTGAAATCGTAAACAGTCCGCAGTTCTGAGATCGAGCGTCTCATAAGATGTTGTGGTTATTGTTCCAATGCGTATAGGTGTAATATTTGACTGTCACTGGGCCAGACGTCAGGCGTACGTTGCGAACATATCGTTATGTTTTCAATTTTGCATTTTCGAGAAGACCGTTTTTGTTTACTCGTCGACGGGCTCTATAATGGTAATAAAACGCACAGCTTATGTCTTAATAAAATTACTAAATATATTCTACAATAGCAATAAAGGTAGAATATTGTTGGGGTCAAAATGTCAACATGTTACGATATATTGTTTTATGCCGTCGCTACGAGCAAATTGAGTGATTGCCTTTTTATGATATGAATTATGGAATATTCCAGAGGACCCAAATATAATTCTTGATAAATAGATATTTAGATAATGAGGATATAAGTTAGTTAACAAGATCTAAGACTGTACTGAGAGATATAGTACTGCACTTAACAATTCAGGTCAATCCAGGGATGCACTGACAAGAGTCTGCGATCTTCTAGTTAGGCAAGAGTGAGTAGGCTGTTACTGAATTCAGTGTATTACCCATGTGACGCTGCATCATCAAGTCTTAGATTTTTTCAATGAATCAGAATAGCATTGTTATATCTGTGTGGTGTGTATATTGTTATATCCGTGGCTAAGATACGCTTATTCAAATCTTTAGAGTAGCCAGTTAAGACTTTAGCCTCATAAAACGTTTGTTTGAAATCGTCTGAATATGTTGGTTATGAAAGGGAGAACAATGTTGTTTATTATTTGCCGTGTCATCTTTGTCGCGGTAAAATAGTAAAAGTTAATACGTAATGTAGGAAACTTTCTACATACCTGGCAATCTACCAAAAAGAAGCGATGGCAGTTCACCTTCAGTATATTCTAAAGGGAACTACTACTGCTCATATTATGATTTATCTATAAACATAGATATGTATATGTGTCTTATGTCATTAAAATATAACACAAGTATGGAAACACTTAAAATCCAACTATTTTTACTTAATTCATCCCGTCATTTTTAAATGTTATTATTCATTATTCAATTATTAAGACCGTGAAAATCTATTTAAAATTGAATCACAGAAAACAGATTGAGACAAAAAAATTACAGTATTAGCAAATTCGTTCTACTCAGTCTAAGTTACACCTTGAATCTAATATTGAATATTTAATATCAGGTACCATGAAAAATGTACCGAAATTGAGTAAGAAAAAAGATCAGGATTCATTATGAAAATATACTATGTTAATACTGTACAGTGACTTAGGCCAGTTTCAATATTCTATCTATCTGTAGATTTGGTTACTAGTGATAGGTATTTGACATTAGCTCCATAATACTTTCGTCAAAATTGTATCTCCGGTAACCAAATCTACAGATAGAATATTCAAACCGGCCTCTGATAAAATCGAGATAATCAAATTAAAATTTTATAGGTATGTCTAAATTTTATGCGGCAGTGTTATAGAATAGGACTAAGGTATCCCCTTCCTGTTTCAAAAGGCGACTTTCAAGGGACAATGGATTGGAAGATTTCCTTCGGAACTCCGATAAAAAAACTTGTGAGTAGGTCTTGCGCATGAAAGCTTCCATACCATTATCTATAAAAATGGCAAATAAAAAAAATCTGTTGTATGGGAGCCCTCAGTGGCGGATTTGTAGTCGTGGCCGCCCTAGGCCCCAGCTCATGTAGTAAGTTCCAGCCGCCCCTTTCTCAGCGCCCATCATGTCTTTGTTATCATAAGTGAATTTTCTGTCATGATTGGCAGCCTCTAATATGTGGCCGCCCTAGGCCCGGGCCTTTTGGGCCTTAGGGCAAATCCACCAGTGGGAGCCCTTATTTCATATATTGTTTTGTATGTATTTATTTAAGCAACAGAAATACATCGTCTGTAAAAATTTCAACCGTCTTTCATGGTTTATGAGATACTGCCTGGTGACAAACTTACAGACAGACAGACAGCGAAGTCCTAGTAATAGGGTTCCCGTTTTACCCTTTGGGTACGGAACCCTAAAAATAAAGATGCGTAGCTATAGACTTCAGTGCAGCGGAAGAGAGAAATATATTTGTAATGTAGAAACAAACTTTAACTGACAAAGAATTTTCCAGGTTGTTGATGTTCTTTCATACGGTTAAGTTCTATACACAAAATATAGAACTTATTGAAAACAGCACTGTACTACCCTACAGAAATGATTTTTTTTTATAAAAAAAGGACAATATTAACTCTATAACTCAACTTTAACGACTTTTAATATGTGAGGCCAAAATCCAATTTAGGACATTGCGCCATAATATGTAGTTTCTTACTTGTATTTGTTATATTATGTACTCGTAATTAAATACGAAAGATGTGGCTGCTTTTTAATTAACATGATATATTCCTTCCAACGACGTTCAGACTCTCCTGAAATTAGTGTTAAAGATGTGACACGTGTTTATTTAGAAGCTCGAAGACATTCCAACCGTCAAAACATTTTAAATTAAACAGCAACAATACCAAAATCAACTGTGAGACATTTAGTTCAACCAAGAATTCTATGTAAATGCACGTAATATTGCGTTGTTTACAATGTTTAATATTACTATTTAAAATAGTTATCTTTTGTTTAGGATATAGAAAGTATCTTATGCCAAAATATATCCCCGTTAAATTTTCTTCCAAATTCCTTAAGCCTTTGCGGTGCGAAGTGCGCAATTCCACCTCGGTTGCAGAAGATCCTCCTCTCCTACCACTCTTGAACTGTCCCCAGTACCAGCACGCATTCGGCGTGGGCTCAACAAGCTGACTCAGAAAGTCCTTTACGGGCTGACCTTAAACCACAGCCCGGCCCAGAATGGGCTCCTTTTGGCTTTCCCGGGGGTGACCAAGCCACGGCTACTCCCTCCGCCATTACAAGGCGGGAACCTGTTCGGAGGGGGAAAGGGACAAAATATTAAAGGTTAGCAACTTAACTGTAACCATTCGGTTAATAATGGACGCCGGAATCACTTAAAATTAGATAAACCACCGACTCGTATTCTACACTAAATAAAACACAAACATTCACATTTTCAACATCATTGAAGTATAATATTTAATATGTCAACAGAATAAGAAACCTTTTCCCCAAAGGTAAAAGTTAAATATTTATGAAATCACAAAATATACAATATATTTAAATTAAACGTAAGTAATTAATGACTACGCGATGTGTTAACAGACCACTATTCTTTTTGTTTGTCAGTAGACTGTATAAAGCTTCGTCGGGCCCAGAGCAAGTAGAAATGCTGCGTTTCCACAAGCCTAACTAAGCAGAGTCACGCATGTGGATATATGTGCATTAACGAAATGAGGGGTTTGCCGGCTGCGGGACGTCGCGGACCATGGACTAAAGTTATTAGTGTTAATGAATTTCTAATAAGCATATTATATACATTTAACTGTATTTCATTTCAGATTAAATTTGTATTTACAGTCGTTATGTTTTTACTGACGACCTTCTAGCAAACATTTAATATTTGCGTGCTGTGTAATATGAGTACAATATAGCGATTATATATAGGAATTATCACCCCGCGATGTACCTATGTTGACGAGAAAATCTTAATTGATATTAATGTTAATATTAATATAACTCGTGCACGTAGTAAATGTAAATCGAATGCCGCATCCACAGGCGGCGAGCGAGACTGAGACGATCACGGTAACATTTTGTTTTGGAAAGCACGGCGGACGGTTGTGCCCCCGCTTTCCTCTCCGTAACATCGCGCTATATTTAGCCGTATCATGTCGCTAGTTTTAAAAGTCGCGCTAATAATCATTCCTATGATCGTGCGATGTGTGAACGTGAATACTTTGCACCGTTTCAAAGACGGCAAAGAGCTGAGCGACGCTTACGACGCAAACATTACAACGCGCGTGGTGTTCAATGAATCAGTGTATTCGAAACCGTTCAATCGTCACAGTGATTTCTTGTGGCGCTGTCTGGACAAGCTGAAGCGATGGAAGAAGCGGAGAAGAATAAAGGAAGTGATCGCTCTCATGATGCGGGAGGGCCTTCATAATTTACGATGGAAAAGGAGTTTCGACGAGCCGAACGATACTCATATATTTGAACTGTCTAATAAGCTAAACATTGCCACGAACAATGTGAAGAGTTCCTCGTTAGTAGCGAGATTCAAGGAAAGGTGGCCGGTGCAGTTGTGGAAACAATACGGATTATTCAATGAGGAATATCTGTTAATAATAAACCCACATTGGCTGCAGTTCTCGCCACCTCCGCCCGTTATCCACTACACTCTTGGCGGAATCTACATAATTATATTGGCTGTTGGCTGCTCGGGAAATATGATGGTGCTTTACATGTATTACAGGTACATGCATTAATAGTTCAGTTATTACTATTTCCTTGATTCCGGTAATGCGACAATTATAATCATCTTGCTGCAAACGCTATAGGCATAACTGGAAATATTGATCGTATAATAAGTAACATTCATATCTCATTATATTTATAAATATCCGGAATCAAAGGCGGAATTATTTTTATGTCCAATGTTGTAAGTTTTGAGCTCTTGACGGTACAGCTCGATGCAAATGTCAGTAAATAAAACTTCCTGGTGTAGCAGAAGGTCGATAAACAAATCGCTTTTGCGAGGGTAAATGCAATTTGCTCCTTTCGACATGGCTAGAACAAATAATGAAAATATAGAATGTGTGGGCTTTCTCTTCACAGGCACAGTTTTATAATGGTACCGTCATGATGGTGTTTAGCTTATAGAAATTAACTCTTCGTGTGTTTAACTCAGGAAATCATATTTTAATAAAACATTGATTCAGTGAAAAGAAATAACATGTTATTCGCGAAATGTGTAGTATTAGACTAGTGGGAAACCTGTTTCTTCATATTGAGGATGCACTACTGCAGATTTATAATCGTGAAACTACAAACATCATCTACCAGTCCTCTTTGACTGTACAAAGTGGTCATTTCCCGGCTTTTTAAAAAATACACACATTCCGCAAAAGGTTCAAAAGTTAGTTTTCAATATAAAATCCTCGATCTAATCTCATCTATAGACTTAAATCCATCAATTGTACATAGATTGCTTAAAATTTTGAATTTTTCGAAACATTGAAGGATTGAGGTGTTTTTATTTTATATATTTATTTTATTTTATTTGGTACACAAAACAGCAAACAGTTTTATACGCCTTACAATAAAGTTAAATGAGGTACACGATTACATACTGTCAGCCAAAAACATGCGTTCACAAGATGCTACGATTATCTTAATAGTTTGATTCTCAATTTACCCCAGTGAAACAAAAACTGCTTAAAATACAAAAAATAAATATTATAAACGTAAATAAAAATTTCGATACATAATGTATGGACTGCACGTCCCAAACAGTTAAAGATGGTATCATGCAAAATAATTAAACGTCACTTTCTTCGAACGGTCTTCAAACGTCATTTTATTTTTTATGTGTTTACCTGATGTTAACTGATAACCGCTGCCCATTGACATTTGCAACACCTGTAAGGTCGCAGATGCGTTCCCACCTTTTAAGGGCCCCGGTTACCTCACTCGCCAGACGAAATGTCGAACAAGAACACTTCCAATTCACACTGGTCTTCTGTAAGTCTGTACTACTAATCCGAATGGACCTGCCCATTCGTGCAAAAGCTAACAATGTTGCATGGCCTTACCACAGTGAGGTAATTATATAGTAAGACGTAAGGGCTATGAATTAATGTTATATTTTTTCCTTATGAGAAGGCACTCACTCGGCCTTCCATTCCTACTTAACTTTTCTGCATGATCATTTGTTACTTTATTAAAAGTCCGTTATTGCTGTTTCGAGTTGCTTGGTATGTCGGACGTTGTTGAGTCAATATTTCTTAGAGCAAAATGTTCAATGCTGCGATAATGTTTTTGAACATGTCCATGTTCTCTGCGGCTAATGTCCACTTAAATTGCGTCGTCACCATTGCTTCATAATTTCTAGGTTTATTTTTATCGCGACGCAAAATTTATTTGCCATTCTTTTAAATCCTTATATCCCTCCCACTCGATGAATTTATTCGGATAATCGTTTTTCATTTTATGCAAACTGCTTCTTAATGGCTTCGCGATGTTATTATTTCATTGTATATGAATGGCGCTTTCATATTTTTAGATCCCATCCCCGTTTCCAAACGGAGTATCTACTTTGGTAGTACGTATTTTCCTTTTACGGTGGTAGGGCCACGCAGCAGCCTCGGCTGTTGCACGAATGGGCAGGCCCGTCCGGGTATGTACCACGACCTCACAGAAGACCAGCGTAAAGTGGAAGTATGACAAATACTTTCGCGTTTCGTCTGGTGAGTGAGGTAGCCGGAGCCCAATTTTCAAAAGGTTGTCAACGCATCTGTTAACCTCGAGTGTGGCAGATGTCCATGGGCGTCGGTATTCACTTAACATCAGGTGAACCGGCTGCTCGTTTGACAACTTTTGGCATAAAAAAAAAAAAAAAAACGTACTCATTAAAATAAAAATTGTTTTGGGGTATTATTTAGTATTACAGTATTTTTTCCGCACTTAGTGTTAACGAGAATTTAGTATTTACAAGAAATGTGTCGGAATCAGGTACGCTAGTCTTCGCTCTTTAGGTCCTTCTAAGTTTTAAGGTATGACGTTGCTTAATTAATTACGGACCAAACTCTTTTCACTTTTAACCATAACAGCGAAACTTAAAATTCACGTTTTCCTGAGCACATTAAGACCCAGGTGACTAGTCATCAGCCCCATCACCTTGTAACCACCACCTCGAGAAAAAGTCGGCAAAACTCATTGGTGACTGCACAGGGAATTGATCTGGCGACCGTTCGAACGTTCATTCAATGGCATTAAGGAGCGTTCGAGATATTTGCATTCCAGAACGACAACACGTTAAACGAAACTATAAAGTTTCCAATGAACGCTACAAATAGCCGGACACGCAAGCATTGCGATTTCGCTGAAACGAAACAGATAATATGGGTGTTGAGTGTAAATAAATTATTCTATACGCATCTAAAATGCACGTGGTACAGCATTGCGTGGCAAAACTGGTGCGTCTTAGCAGAACCGGTGCGAAATCATGGCTCTTCTGATCTTGCCGCGTGCGCGTTAAATGTTCCGGACTCAGTTGTCTCGGCTTGTTCAGTAGGTTGTTATTTATTTGGACTATATTTGCAGCTCGCTGTAAATGTCATGCGTCAGTAACAGTAATACATACAAATGTGTTCTCGTGTCCATTGATATGAGTAAATAAATGACGACCATGTATCCGTAACTCGAATTCAAACGCAAGGTATCGTTTTTCCCATACGGATTATTGGACAAACCCTAAGAATAACAATGGTTTGACATACGATATGAGAATCAAACGAGAAACCTAAAATAACATATTATAGACTATTGGCCAGTAATTTCTTACACGCAAAAATATATTCAAGCAATTATTTCAAGGTTTAACTCCTTCACCCGAGGCTATTACGTAGGATATAAATATTTTATTACATTTTTAGAATGTGCATAATTGAAATAAAAAAATAATAATAACAAATTTTTATACTATAAATAGGGTACATACAAGGAGATTTTTTGAGAAGTGCCCGTTACACAGGAGGTTCAGACTCGGTAGTATAATCGTTTATTGAAATAAAAAACAGTTTTCTTTTCCAAAAAAAATTTCCATACTATTTCCCAAAAAAAAAAGAACGTGTTGACAATGCAGTAGTCATTCATAAATACCTAAATTTTACTGTTCCCGAACACAAACGAACTTGTGTGCATGTTAGTTATGAATGATCGCGCGTAAAACAAATGAGTTGCGTATAACGTACTTTTTGAGATAAGTTCAAATGAATGTGATTAATTCCTTAAGAGTGATTTTAAATGTTTATCATTTTTTATATAACATTATTTATGTCTAGAATTTAATTAAAAAATGGATAACTTAGAAAAGCCAACCTGTATATGATTTTGTTGCGGTTAGAGAAATAATTACGTTCTTTGTCCAGTTATTTCATATACTTGGATCACTGACCTTTAATGCTTCAAGACGCGGATTAAAGAAATCTATCTTTGTGTCGGGCTACTTCGTAATTAATTGTAAAAGTACGTTATTCCAACCGTAGCATCCCAGGACGAGAGTACTTAATTGTGCAATTGATAAAACTACTGCCATACCAGTGCACATTATGATTCGTATGAAATGTTTAACTTCAAAGGATCAATTCAATAATCATAACAAAAAACTTATAATGATAGCATTTTTGGCTGATATTGATCACGTAGGAAAAATCACTACATAGTACAAAGTCGTCCCGCTGTCTGTCTGTCCCTATGTATGCTTAGATCTTTAAAACTAAGCAACGGATCTTGATGCGGTTTTTTTTTACTAGATAGAGTTATTAAAGAGGAAGGTTTACATGTATAACACATTGCTGGCGGGTCGCTATTTAATTAGAAATGTTTGAAATAGTTTAGTTATCCCGTTCGCCAAAGCACTTTAACATCTTATATTATAATAAATAACCATAATTGATTATATTTGACGCTTTACAGCGGAGTTACAGAGGGCCTTTTTGCCGAGCGGAAACTCTTTAGAAAAGAAATTAGAATGACGAGGAAACCAAATTGGCTCCTTAAATTAATAGTAGAGAAGTTTAAAAAAATCTTCAAAGTTATAAAAGCATTGAGATCAAAGCTAGCCAGTAATATTCAAAAATGTTCCACATGGGACTTTTTTAAATGACATTTCGCAGACATTTACGACCTAACCAGCGGGTGTTTAAAAAGTAGCAATAAATACTCATTAACGATAATAGAGCCTTATTATATTTGGTAAATGTAAATAACTTTAACTCCGGCGTAATTTAATTAAAATAAATTTTAAACGATAGAGATAAATCTCTAATGAATTAATCAACAAGCAGAATTCGGCGGTCGCTTATAGTTTTCGAGAAAAAAAAATATTTAAAACTTGTTTTTTGTACTAAGAAATCCACCATTTTATTTGTTTGACTTCAAAAACTCAATACACAGTTCTGCCAACATGATAAATATAGGAAGCGGGCGACATCATACACGTATCGATATTCCGATTTTTTTTTAATTTAATGAGTCACAGAACCGACACAGCGAACCGACTCGGATAGATTATAAGATGGTTAGAAGGTTCAGGCGGAGGGGTTTTAGGGTAGAAGGAGCGGAGCTCCCGCCTTAACCTTCGATGTTAGGTTTTTTTTTATGACCACCAAGAAATACGAGCTGAATTGACATATTGACAACAAAAAAATGGCGGATTTCTATAGTAAAAATCACACTATTTGATTATTTATT